CACTCCAGGCATCCTTGGATACCGCTGACTCAGCAGCCCGCACCATGGAGACCGACGTCTTGATACGTCGCGTAACTTGGCTGCACGTGTCAGGGATTCCCCCTGACGTGCAAAATACAATCCAGGACTTGCCGTTCGAGGGAAACACTTTGTTCTCGGAGCACACCGACTCTAGGCTCCATACCCTGAAGGACACAAGGTCCACGTTGAAATCCTTGGGCATCCACACGCCTGCCCCGCAGCGTCGACAGCTGCCCTATCGACAGCGGGGGAGAGCGCAGCCCCAGGTCCCCCGTGGGGATTACTGGAGGTGCAGCTCCCGGGCCTCCGGTGGAGGTTCCGGGGTGGCTGCGCTCCCCCAGGGGGCTAGGGGTTGACGTCATCGCCCCAGGTCCGATACCCAGCGGGGAGGTCCCCACGGTCCTTCCCATCAGGGCAAGCCCCAATTTTGACGCCCTTTTCGAGAGTCCCGTACCAGTCTCCCATCCTGGCCCCCCGTTTGGGGCCAGGCTATCCCTTTTTGGCTCTAATCACATCAGATGCCTGGGTTCTGAACATAGTAAATGGAGGCTATACTATCCCATTCCTGGGCCCACCGCCCTCAAAACCCCCTTCTCCGTCCTTAGTAAGGGACACCCCTCACGAACACATCCTGTGCCAGGAGGTGTCTGCGCTCCTCAAAAAAGGGGCAATAGAGGAGGTTCCTCCGCACCTGCGAGGAAGGGGATTCTACTCCTGTCATTTTGTTGTCCCCAAACCGAAGGGAGGAGTCCGTCCCATCTTGGACCTCCGAAATTTAAACAAGGCGGTCATAAAACACAGTTTCAGAATGGTGACTTTGGCCTCGGTCATCCCAGTGCTACAGTTAGGAGACTGGTACGCGACTCTCGACCTCAAGGACGCATACTTCCACCTGGCGATCAGGCCCAGCCACAGGAGGTTTCTCAGGTTTATGGTGGTCCGATACCATTTTCAGTTTATGGTGCTCCCCTCTGGTTTATGTACGGCACCAAGGGTGTTCACAAAATGTATGGCGGTGGTTGCCGCATTTCTCCACAAACAAGGGGTGTACGTGTTCCCGTACCTCGACGATTGGCTGATCCGAGGTCGCTCGTACGAGCAGGTAGAAACTCACGTGGCACTCACAGGAGCCTTCTTCCTAAGGCTAGGGCTCATGATAAACATCAAAGTCATCCCTGACCCCCTCCCAGCAGATAGAATTCATGGGCGCCCCCCTCAACGCAAGGGTGGCAAGAGCGTTCCTGCCCAAGAGCAGGTTCCTCTCCATAGTGGAGCTGATTTCAGGGTTAATCCGGTCCCCTATCACGACCTCTTGGGTCTGCTCCAGGCTCCTGGGCCACATGGCGGCGTGCATGTACGCGGTGCGCCATGCCAGAATGAGAATGAGACCCCTGCAGGCATGGTTAGCACAGGCCTTCAGCCAATCCAGGGGTCTTTGGGACTTGATAATCACAGTGCCCCCAGAAATTCTGGATTCCCTCCTATGGTGGACCCAGGAAACTGTGGTACGCAGTGGGGTTCCTTTCAGTGCCCCTCCCCCCTCCCTTACGCTGGTCACCGATGCATCCGACCTGGGCTGGGGGGCACACCTAGGGCGGCACAGGACTCAAGGCCTCTGGTCCCCCTCCGAACGAACACTGCACATAAACGGCCGGGAATTGTGGGCGGTGAGGAGAGCCTGCGAAGCCTTTCTGCCAAGGTGCTCTCACCGCTCGACCCTGGTTCGTATGGACAACACAGCAGCGGTATTTTATCTCAACAAGCAGGGTGGGGCACGGTCACCTCCCCTCTGCAAAGAGGCCCTGCGACTCTGGCACCTGTGTGTCACGCACAATATCACGCCTCAGGCAGAATACCTCCTGGGGTGCAAAAACCTGCTAGCAGACACACTGAGCAGATCCTTTGGAGCCCACAAGTGGTCGCTCAAGGACTCTGTTCTGTGTCAGGTTTCCGCAGGTGGGATTATCCCTGCCTAGACCTTCCTGTTCGCCTCGGCACAATGCCAAGTGCCGGAACTACTGTTCCCTGCTGGGGCTGGGGAAATATTCCCTGGGGGATGCCCTGACGGCTTTGTGGCCAGAGGGCATTCTCTGTGCTTTTTCCCTGTTTCCCCTAATTTCCAGGGTGTTGACCAGAACGAAGACATTTCGGTCCACGATCATTCTCATAGCCCCCACGTGGCCCAGGCAATTCTGGTTCCCCATCCTAGTGGACATGCTTACCCAAGACCCAATAGCACTCCCTTCAGTCCGGGACCTGCTAACTCAGCCTTGGGACGAGGGGACCATGGTTCACCCAGATCTCAGGTCTCTCCACCTAACGGCGTGGTTTATCGGTGGTTGAACCAACCTGAAAGGGAATGTTCCCAGGAGGTTCAGATGGTGCTCCTCAGTAGCAGGAAACCCTCTACTAGATAGTCATACGCTGCCAAGTAGCGGCGCTTCTCGTCTTGGGCGTCCCGGAGAGGAGTACACCCACCCTCAGCTCCTATTCTGGCTATCCTTGACTATCTTTTTGAGCTTCGGTCTAGTGGCCTGTCCTTTTCCTCTATCAAAGTCCATGTGGCATCTCTCTCCGCCTTCCATGCTGGTACGGCAGGAGTCTCCCTTTTTTCTAACCCAGTGGTTAAAAGGTTTCTTACTGGTTTGGAAAAGTTGTATCCCTCGGTGAGGGCCCCACTTCCCGCCTGGAACCTCAATGTTGTCCTCCACAGGCTTGTTACCCCCCTTTGAACCACTGGCTCTCGTTGAAGGTTGCTTTCATCGTGGCCATTACATCGGCTCGAAGGGTGTCGGAACTAAGGGTGCTAACTGTAGACCCGCCCTACCTTGTTTTTTCACATAGTAACGTCAGGCTCAGGCCTCATCCAGCCTTCCTCCTAAAGGTGGTGTCACCGTTCCACCTGTCCCAGGAGATTTATCTCCCGGTTTTCTTCCCAAAACCTCACGCCTCCCCTAAGGAGCGGGTGCTTCACTCCCTGGATGCTAAGTGGGCGCTGGCATTCTACATTGAGAGAACCAAGCCGTTCCACAAATCCCAACAATTGTTTGTTGCGTTTGGGGAAAGGGTGAAAGGCTCGCCTATATCGACACAAAAGCTATCAAGATGGGTGGTGTAATGCATCACAGAATGTTATCAACTGGCTGGTAAAACCCCACCCAGGGTGAAGGCACACTCTACCAGGGCGCAGGCGTCCTCGGTAGCTTTTGGTGCTCAGGTACCAATCACGGAAATTTGCAGGGCGGCCACATGGTCTTCCCTTCACACGTTTACGGCGTACTATGCGCTAGCACAGCAGGCCAGGGAGGATGCAGGGGTGGGCTCTGCAGTCCTCGAATCTGTAATGTAAATATGTAAATATGTTCTGTTGTCATTGTTGTTAATATGTGCCTTATCCGTGTTGGATTGTTCGAATAAATCCGTTTATTGTTCACCTCTCTTCATGACTCTGGTGGTATGACTGCTCCGATCCCTCCTGCGTGGGGTTAGCTTGGTAGTCACCTACTTCAAATGGACATGAGCAACCACTCGAAGAAGAAAAGAACGGTTACTTACCTGTAACTGTTGTTCTTCGAGATGTGTTGCTCATGTCCATTCGACTCCCACCCTACCTCCCCTTCGTCGGAGTATCCGGCAAGAAGGAACTGAGGTGGGGCAGCGCTGGCAGGGGTACTTATGCCCCGCCATGGCGGCACCACTCCAGGGGCCGCCCTGCAGGCACTACGGGTACCGCTAGGGAAAACGCTCCGGAAGACGCGGTGCACACGGTGCGCACACCTACTTCGAATGGACATGAGCAACACATCTAGAAGAACAACAGTTACAGGTAAGTAACCGTTCTTTTTTGCATTACAAAGCTTGGTGTACTTGGGAATGTCCAACATCTTTGAATATTTATAACTTTTTTTTTGTCATTGTTAGGGTGAAAAGGGATTAAAAGGAGAAACTGGAGAAACTGGAAAAACAGTAAGTCAATTGAACAAAACCAAAAACAAACAAGCCTGGTGCTATGGCTAATATTGGTACATTCTACCTTTGTAATGGTATAGGATAGAAATAGAACAGCCTAACTCAATGTATCAGCTTTTCTCTTCATATCCTTTATATTGCAGGCGAGGCTGGAATTTAGACTGTATTGCCTTTAGTGTATACTTGATAAACTGTAAATACTAATCTGGTTTCACACTAGTTTTTCACAGGTATAATTTCATTGACTTCAGTAGAATTATTTTGTATTTATGTCTGTGTAGAAAAGTGAAGAATACCTATGCCTCTCTCATTTTTATTGAACTTGGATGGCAATATATCTATATTTTCTCAGTATCCATTTGAAACTAGGATGTGGATGAGAGCTGAGATGGCTAGCTAGTTATCCAGTTAAAAACAGTTGCTTTGGGTTTTCTTCAGAGTAGCAACTACAAAAGCATTTACAAAAATTGTGTGTGTCTGTGTGAACAGATGTGAGAAAATCCATATTTCTGAGGTCTTGAACTTAGCTCTCCTATGAAGCAAACAGACAGAACTTTGTGTAGATTTTAGCTCTCGTATGAACTACAGGTTCAGGTCTGATGTTTACACAGACCGGCTGTGTCTACACTGGCACCCCTTTCCGGAAAAGGGATGCTAATGAGACCAGTCGGAATTGCAAATGCCTCAGGGGATTTAAATATCCCCCACGGCATTTGCATGAACATGGCTGCCACTCTTTTCCGGCATGGGGTTTTGCCAGAGAAAAGCGCCAGTCTAGACAGGATCTTGTGGCAAATAAGCCCTTTTCCGGAAGATCCCTTATTCCTACTTGAAAGGGCTTATTTGCCGCAAGATCCCGTCTAGACTGGCTCTTTTCTCCAGCAAAACCCCGAGCCGGAAGAAAAAAGCGGCAGCCATGTTCATGCAAATGCCGCGGGGGATATTTAAATCCCCCGCGGCATTTGCAATTCTGACTGGTCTCATTAGCATCCCTTTTCCGGAAAGGGGTGCCAATGTAGACACAGCCACCATGTGCTTTCATTTGCATTCAGCCTCTGCATGCAGTGTAATGCTCTTCTCTTCATAAATACAGTATTGTACACATTCCGTAAACATAATGTGTTCATGTAAGTTCATCTGCAATGTTTCTTAGGGTTTACCTGCATCTTCAGCAGAAAAGGGAGAAAATGGAATAATGGGTTACCCAGGAGAGAGGGTAAGTTGTTCATTAAAGATGAAAATCACCCAATGCAGAGATTCATCTAAAGCCTGTGTTATAGATGTTGGAGCAAATCAGAAGCCAAGTGTGGGGAGTGGTTATGCAACCTATTTGTGCCTAGTGGGACTGAAAAGGGAGAGGCCGGTGCATTCATATGAAGTGACGAGAACCCTCTCCAGATCAGGATCTATAGCCAATACTGCAGCCTATAATGACTACAAACGTCTGTGCTGAAATCCTATGGCCTGTTTGCTGTTTTGGGGCAGTATTCCATTTCTCCATCCCCTTCTTAGCTCGCCTCACAAAGGCAAATTATTTTCACCCTTGTTGTTTTTATTCACATACACCCTACAAGAAAACCTAAACATGTTTGGGTGCAAGGATTGTATAGCATCCAATTGATTGAAAAATACAACTTCTGAAATAAATATGGTGGAAAGGATAGGCAATATAAATATTTCCAAAAACACTCAGAGTACGTCTACACAGCAGGGCTAAAGTCAGAAAATGCTATTTAACTTGAGCTATGTCAGTTGCGTAGCTGAAGTTGAAATAGCTTAACCTGGCTTTTGGCACTGTCTACACAGCAGGAAGTCAAAGGAAGAGCACTCCGACTTCCCTTACTCATAAAATGAGGGTTGCCAGAAGTCGGAGAAAGAAGTCCTCCAGCTTGCCATTATTGTATGGCTTGCAGTGTAGACACACTGTTTGTGTAGATGTATCCTCAGAGATTATAACATTTTTACAGTGGTTTTACAATATAGGAAGGAAGGAAGCAAGCAAGCTTGTTTTGTTTGTACTGTGCTTTCTTATTGGTATGGTCAGTGTTTTTAAAAGCTCAAACATATTGCACACTTTAGCTTAGAACAGGGGTGGGCAAAAGGGCCTCCGCGGGCTGGATGAGGCCCACCAAGTGGGTGGATCTGGCCCAGAGGCACTGCTGCTCCCCCGCCCCCAGGCCAATTAGGGTCTGGGAGGGCGGGGGAGTGCCCGAAGCCTTCTCCGCTCTGTCCCCACCCTGTGAGCAGCGCACGGTGCTTCAAAGTGCCACACACTGCTTGCAGGGGCGCTCCCCTGCCCACAGACCCTAATTGGCATGGGGGCGGGGGAGCGTGAAAGCCTCCTCCCACCCTGCCAGGAGCATGTGGCGCTTTGAAGCACGGCTCATTGCTCTGAAGGCTCACTGCTCTGAGCCTTTGCGCGCTCCCCCACCCCCAGGCCAATCAGGGCCCGAGGGTGGGGGAGCTACATGAAGCTTCCTTCACCCTGCCCTGCCCCTGGGAGAAGCCTGAGGCACTTCACGTGCTCCTCACAGGGCGAGAGGCAGCTTCCTGTGCTCCTCTGCCCCCAGGCCCTGATTGGCCTGGGGTGGGGAAGCATGCCAAGCCACTTCCAGGGCATGGGTGCCTAGTGGGAAGAAGGGGCAAAGGGGCTCCCAAACTCCCAGATCAGTTATGGTTTGGGGGTGGGGTAGCCCTGTTCCTTCCCGTTTAGGCCCCACCCCTTTCTGTTTATACCGTGCCCCTTCTGGGGTGGTCCGAGGCTACTAAAGAAACTTTTGAAGTGGCCCGCGGGCAAAAATTATTGCCCACCCCTGGCTTAGAAGGTCCAAAGATTAAAAGATTTGTTTGTTAGCATTTCATTTTATTCTGCAAATGATGTTGTATTTTCATAGGGATTACCTGGTATCAATGGCATCCCAGGACCAGATGGAGAAAAAGTAAGTATTTAGCTTGAAAATCAGATTTTGTTTCTAGCATGCTGCTTTTAACATATGAACTGACATCTTCAGACTATGGGAAAATGTATGATTTATCCTCTAAAATAACAGCATAATATCAATGCAGAATTTATTCTAAGCAGTTCATTCTGATTTGTTATTTACACAGTGCTGTGAGTGTACACAGCTCTTTATAATGTATAACTTGTTCCAGACAAGTAACATGACCAACACCACAGACGTTAGAACTTTTAATTTTTAAGTGGTTCAGCAATATGTATATACGACGTTTAACATTTTATCAAATTACATCATAAAAGGCCAACCTTGCACAGTATAAGTAATCCTGTGGAATATTCTATGGTTGACTTCTATATTTAAACTCTCTGATTGAAAATCAAGGTGTATCCCACACATATACTGTACATATCAAATTCTGATCTAAGTTATACTGGTATTTGAACGCCTGTATTGCCTTTTAGGAATATGTTTTCAGAGTGCTATAGAAATGTTGTATTCATAGTTCCCCTCATTGCTGACATGAGTTCCATAATTTCTTTTATACCATACTATACTTTAATTACTCACAGATGTTGTAGAGATCTGAATTTTGAGCTCCATCTTCAATTTCTGACATAAACCAGATGAGAGAGAGGAGAAAACCTGAGAAAAATCCTTCCTGATTTTCTGTGTCCATAAAAAAAAAATCAATAATATCTAAAATAAAATGCCATCATACCTGGAACTCTCATATTTTTTATTTGTGTGGAAAAAAAAACCCTCTTTTTATATCAGTGTTCTAAACAGTGCCCATACAATATTCAAATAAGTCTATGGCTACAGGAATAAATGGTTTATCTCTGGTTCTTGATTATACTTAAGAATAGGCCTGACAGCAAGGAATACCAAAACTTGGATGAAATCCATAGCTCTTAAGCGACTGTCAAAATGGTTGGTCTAGAAGAGAGAAAATTGTCAATAGTACTCTTTCCGTACTTAAAGGCTCTTTCCGTTTACTTAAGGGCTACGTCTACACTGGCATGATTTTCCAGAAATGCTTTTAACGGAAAAGTTTTCCGTTAAAAGCATTTTCGGAAAAGCGCGTCTAGATTGGCAGGACGCTTTTCTGGAAAAGCATCCATGGCCAATCTAGACGTGCTTTTCCGCAAAAAAGCCCCGATCGTCATTTTTGCGATCAGGGCTTTTTTGCGGAAAACACTACTGTGCTGTCTACACTGGCCCTTTTCCGGAACAGTTTTCCAGAAAAAGACTTTTGCCCGAACGGGAGCAGCATAGTTTTTCCAGAAAAGCACTGATGATTTTACATTAGATTGTCAGTGCTTTTCCAGAAATTCAAGCGGCCAGTGTAGACAGCTGGCAAGTTTTTCCGGAAAAGCGGCTGATTTTCCGGAATAACTTGCCAGTGCAGTCACAGCCAAGGAGTCTTTATATCTGTACCCATGTCAGAATCATTTATTAGCCCTTTTATCCCTTTTTGAGTTTGAGTCCTGATAAATATTTTGGTATATTTATTTTAATGAGAAGTAACTGGTAAATGACATTTGGAGGAATAGGTTTCCCGATATGCTATTCACCAGCAATAATATTTTTTAAATTAATTTTTTTACTCCTTTGAAAGAAAGAAGAACTATAGCTCAGTCCTTTCAATGTCATTAAAAGTAGATGATAATTAGGAAACTCCTGGCTTCCTTTTTAGATCTACAGCTCCACCTAGCGTGAAAGAGATTTTGCACCTATTGTATAACAGTTGTTAGTTTGGCAATGTTTGACATATATTACCATTGTGTAAAATATCTTTGATCCCTGGGGGTTAGTTTGTGGTATGCTGGAGAGTGTTGTGGCATAGAGCAATGCTTTAAAACTGGTAAGTGTTTTCTGAAGCCAATTACTGAGATATCTGCTCCATTCAGGAGTTCAGTACGCTCGTTGTTTTTAGAAGGCTGTACTTAAAATTGTTGGCTGAGATCCACAGCAAATGCAAATTGTTGCACTAACTTCTGTGGTTCCTTACTGCTTTACAGCAGCTGAGGATCTGATCATTATTTTACCACTAACATTTCAGAAGTTCTGTTTTCTGGAATACACACCTGGCCTTTGCATCTACAATTCAGTTCTAGAAAAATGTTTAAATAACATATAATCATTCTGATTTTTCTCTCCCTTGTACCTGAACAAATCAGGAGTAACTCAGTTGAATTCAATAGAATTACACTGGTGTAAACCCAGTGAATACAGGAGAAGAGTGAAGGTTGGTATTTTCCCATGCACAGCTTCATCGACTGAAATATACACTAGTGGGACACAACATACTGGTGCTGACACTGGCACTTCAGATGTATGCCAGAAGGCTAGTATAGGTAGGCTCTGGAGGTTTCGTTGTTTTAGTAAAAACAATAAATCATTCAATTAATTAAAATTCTCCTTCGAGATTGTTTTATCACAAACACTTCCTATAGACAGTAGTAGTGTAATTGCGTGATCGGCACAAGTAGTGCATTTTGTATTGTAGTAGTGCCTAGTGGCCTCATCCCAAATTCTGGCTTGGTACTATACAAACATATAATAAAGAAATTATTCCAGCCATCATGCACTCACAACCTAAGTATAACAATGACTTCATTATCAGAGTGACATTTCTAAGGCATAACTCATTGGTCTATTCTGGACCAATTTCTCTGGCTGATGACATCTGGAAGAAACCCCACTGTTGCAGAGTAAAAGAGGCAGTGTGCATGTAGAACCCACACACCCTTTGGGGTGTGGTTCACAGTCTCATGTAGTGGCACCTAGATCACTTACAGAGAGAGAGAGAGAGAATGAGAGTGTTTTACAGCCTTAGCTGAGTGCCAGCTGGCTTTTAGCTCAAGTGGTAGAAGCTTGTGCATTAAGCTCTGGATGTCTGAGGCTTGGTTCCATTTATCAGCATTACACATGTGCATAGTCTTCATAACACCATTGGAACGGACTAGAGAAGAAAGGCCATTTGCTGCCTTCTTACCTCGCTTTGCATCGGTGCAGAATTCAGGTTCCCATCTCAAGATCTTCTAAGGGCTGGACAGCAGTGTGTTTCCTCTAAGCTGTGCCCCAGCACAACTTCACAGGTGATGAATCAACCCCGCCCAGTCAGTCAGCTCTGTGCAGGAAGCCCTGAGCCTCTGACTGGGCAGGGCTAATTAATCACCTGTGCTGCCACTCAGCTTAGAGGGAAGACTGCTGAACAGTTTCATTTCCTGACCATTCTGTATTCCTCCAAGTAGGCTACATACTAGGCCTGAACCAGAGCTGGGGTTTGACCCTCCATACAGAATATATACCATAAAATCCAGAAAGGTAGAACTCAATTGCTACACCCAAGAGTAAATCTTGAGGGTGACAAACCTCTCAGCTTTACTGCATGGTTCACACACCTTAACTATATTAGAGGAAACCAGCATTCCCGTGCTTTTAAAACAATTGCTGTGACAGATTAAAATATTAGAAATAAGCTAGTCTGCTGAAAAATCCTAAAACAAATTATCTTCACTTTTTGTCTGATTTAGAAAAAGGAAACCATTTTAATATATATTTCAGGGTTTTCAAGGATTTGATGGCATGCCAGGTAGCAGGGGTCCTAAAGGAATGAAGGTACTTCTTTCCTTTCCTATACTAATTTATGTCAGAATTAGTAAACCAAACATAATTTTTCTTGTATTGTACCTGTTCATTAGAATAAATATGTAAGTTTTGTTACCATAATTGAAGAGGCAATTTACCTATGCTCCTTGGTCTCTGTCAGTACCCAAATACTTCAAAGGAAGGTGTAAAATTTCACAAAATGTGCTTAACCGACACTGGGAAGGAGAAGAAAAGAAGGTGACTTTTTAATATGCCCCAAAATGATTAAGAGAGCGGGTGAGTGGGAAAATATGGATGAATGATGAAAAAGCAGAACGAGCATAACAAGTGGAAGAATCAGTGAAGAGATAGTATGAATGAAGAAAAATACAAAGCTTTTGCTGGCAACTCAGGGCCAGATGTTAAAGATATATGGTGCCTATAAATGAAGATAGGCATCCAGTGGGATTTTAAAAAGTGTTCTAAGGATACGTCTAAACTACATGGCTCCATCGACGGAGCCATGTAGATTTGTTTTTTTGGCAAAGGCAAATGAAGCCGCGATTTAAATAATCGCGGCTTCATTTAAATTTACATGGCTGCCGCGCTGAGCCGACAAACAGCTGATCAGCTCTTTGTCGGCTCAGCGTGCTAGTCTGGACGCTCCCCTGCCGACATCAAAGCCCTTTGTCGGCAGCCTAACCTCATCCTACGAGGCATAACGGGGAGGTCAATAAAGGGCTTTCAGGTCGGCACGGGAGCATCCAGAGAGCGTCCAGACTAGCACACTGAGCTAATCAGCTGTTTGTCGGCTCAGTGCGGCAGCCATGTAAATTTAAATGAAGCCGCGATCATTTAAATCGCGGCTTCATTTGCCTTTGCCTATCTGTCTAATCTACATGGCTCCATCGATGGAGCCATGTAATCTAGACACAGCCAAGATCTCATTGAAATAAAAATCATTGGGAGTTTGAAAATTCTATTAGGTGCCTGTATACCATGCAATGGACACGCATGCTAAAATTGTCCCTCCCCACAAAATGGCATAGGCATTGGGCATACTCCTGACAGTTCATTATCTATTTATATAGGGAGAGCAGGGTGAGAGAGGCATTCAAGGACCTCCTGTTTATACTCCATATCCCATTCCAAGAAAAGGTATGTCTTCCTTGCTCAGAACATTTGTGATGCTGGTAGCTTATCTTTATTTTCCCTCCTCCCCCACACAGCAAAAGCCTGAAATGTAAAGAACTCTACTCCTTTAGTAAAGCTGGTCTGTATATGCATTATTCATTTCAAACAGTAGCGTACAAACTCCCTAATAGTGTGAAGTTGTCTTATTTTCAGGGAAGTTGTTTTAGATTTGATCTGTCTTAAGCCTTGTCTTCACTCAGGGAAAAAAGGCATGTTTTCAGCATGAGTTAGTGGGCTGGAATGCCCCCTATCCATGTTGGGCCCTGTGGGACTAGAATAGCCTCTTGGTTGCAGTGGGCGGATAGCTGCTTCAGCCCCCACTGGTTAACCATAACCGGTAAGCATTACCCAATAAGATTAACCATTCACATCCCTAGTCCTGATTGGGTGGGAATGCTGCTGGGTGCTGCTGGGTGGTGTTTTTTTCTGTGAGTGCTGCAGTCTCCAAGCACCCATGGAGTCAGCACCTATAGGGACCTGACACCTATTGGTAAGGGGAGGAGTAGGTAAGAAAGCAGAGAAAGGGAGAGACATGTTACATGTCCCATCCAGCCTCATCTTTCAAGAATTATAGTTGTCTGAGCAGTGAAAAATGCACAGTGCTGTGTGTGTGAGAAAGATCAGCAAACTAACTGGTATTCTTTGGGATGGGGATGTGTTTCAGGTGTAAGAGGAGAGCCAGGATTTCGAGGTGTTCCTGGACCTGCAGGAGACCCAGGGAACCAAGGAGC